AGTGAGAGTGACACTACAGTGACAGTGACACTACAGTGAGAGTGACACTACAGTGACAGTGACACTACAGTGAGAGTGACACTACAGTGAGAGTGACACTACAGTGACACTACAGTGACACTACAGTGAGAGTGACACTACAGTGACACTACAGTGAGAGTGACACTACAGTGAGAGTGACACTACAGTGACACTACAGTGAGAGTGACACTACAGTGACACTACAGTGAGAGTGACACTACAGTGAGAGTGACACTACAGTGACACTACAGTGACAGTGACACTACAGTGAGAGTGACACTACAGTGACACTACAGTGAGAGTGACACTACAGTGACACTACAGTGAGAGTGACACTACAGTGAGAGTGACACTACAGTGACAGTGACACTACAGTGACACTACAGTGAGGGTGACACTACAGTGACAGTGACACTACAGTGACACTACAGTGACAGTGACACTACAGTGACAGTGACACTACAGTAACACTACAGTGACACTACAGTGAGAGTGACACTACAGTGACACTACAGTGAGAGTGACACTACAGTGACACTACAGTGACACTACAGTGAGAGTGACACTACAGTGAGGGTGACACTACAGTGACAGTGACACTACAGTGACACTACAGTGAGAGTGACACTACAGTGACAGTGACACTACAGTGACACTACAGTGAGAGTGACACTACAGTGACACTACAGTGAGAGTGACACTACAGTGACACTACAGTGACACTACAGTGACAGTGACACTACAGGGAGAGTGACACTACAGTGACACTACAGTGAGAGTGACACTACAGTAAGAGTGACACTACAGTGACACTACAGTGACAGTGACACTACAGTGAGAGTGACACTACAGTGACACTACAGTGAGGGTGACACTACAGTGACAGTGACACTACAGTGACACTACAGTGAGAGTGACACTACAGTGACAGTGACACTACAGTGACACTACAGTGAGAGTGACACTACAGTGAGAGTGACACTACAGTGACAGTGACACTACAGTGACACTACAGTGAGGGTGACACTACAGTGAGAGTGACACTACAGTGACACTACAGTGACAGTGACACTACAGTGACAGTGACACTACAGTGACACTACAGTGAGGGTGACACTACAGTGACACTACAGTGAGAGTGACACTACAGTGACAGTGACACTACAGTGACAGTGACACTATAGTGAGAGTGACACTTCAATGACACTACAGTGAGAGTGACACTACAGTGACACTACAGTGAGAGTGACACTACAGTGACACTACAGTAACAGTGACACTACAGTGACACTACAGTGAGGGTGACACTACAGTGACACTACAGTGAGAGTGACACTACAGTGACAGTGACACTACAGTGACAGTGACACTACAGTGACACTACAGTGACAGTGACACTATAGTGACACTACAGTGAGTGACACTACAGTGACACTACAGTGACACTACAGTGAGAGTGACACTACAGTGACACTACAGTGACAGTGACACTACAGTGACACTACAGTGAGAGTGACACTACAGTGACACTACAGTGAGAGTGACACTACAGTGACACTACAGTGACACTACAGTGACACTACAGTGAGAGTGACACTACAGTGACACTACAGTGAGAGTGACACTACAGTGACACTACAGTGAGAGTGACACTACAGTGACACTACAGTGAGAGTGACACTACAGTGAGTGACACTACAGTGAGAGTGACACTACAGTGAGAGTGACACTACAGTGACAGTGACACTACAGTGACACTACAGTGACAGTGACACTACAGTGACACTACAGTGAGAGTGACACTACAGTGACACTACAGTGACACTACAGTGACAGTGACACTACAGTGACACTACAGTGACACTACAGTGAGAGTGACACTACAGTGACACTACAGTGAGAGTGACACTACAGTGACACTACAGTGAGAGTGACACTACAGTGACACTACAGTGACAGTGACACTACAGTGAGAGTGACACTACAGTGACACTACAGTGAGGGTGACACTACAGTAACAGTGACACTACAGTGACAGTGACACTACAGTGAGAGTGACACTACAGTGACACTACAGTGAGAGTGACACTACAGTGAGAGTGACACTACAGTGAGAGTGACACTACAGTGACACTACAGTGAGAGTGACACTACAGTGACACTACAGTGAGAGTGACACTGCAGTGACACTACAGTGAGAGTGACACTACAGTGACACTACAGTGACACTACAGTGAGAGTGACACTACAGTGACACTACAGTGACACTACAGTGACAGTGACACTACAGTGACACTACAGTGAGAGTGACACTACAGTGACACTACAGTGACACTACAGTGACAGTGACACTACAGTGACAGTGACACTACAGTGACACTACAGTGAGAGTGACACTACAGTGACACTACAGTGACACTACAGTGACAGTGACACTACAGTGAGAGTGACACTACAGTGACACTACAGTGACACTACAGTGACAGTGACACTACAGTGAGGGTGACACTACAGTGAGAGTGACACTACAGTGACAGTGACACTACAGTGACACTGACACTACAGTGACACTACAGTGACACTACAGTGAGAGTGACACTACAGTGACACTACAGTGAGAGTGACACTACAGTGACACTACAGTGACACTACAGAGTGACACTACAGTGACACTACAGTGACACTACAGTGACAGTGACACTACAGTGACAGTGACACTACAGTGACACTACAGTGAGAGTGACACTACAGTGACAGTGACCCTACAGTGAGAGTGACACTACAGTGACAGTGACACTACTGTGACACTACAGTGACAGTGACACTACAGTGACACTACAGTGACAGTGACACTACAATGAGGGTGACACTACAGTGACAGTGACACTACAGTGACACTACAGTGACACTACAGTGAGAGTGACACTACAGTGAGAGTGACACTACAGTGACAGTGACACTACAGTGACACTACAGTGACAGTGACACTACAGTGACACTACAGTGAGAGTGACACTACAGTGACACTACAGTGACAGTGACACTACAGTGACAGTGATACTACAGTGACACTACAGTGAGAGTGACACTACAGTGAGAGTGACACTACAGTGAGAGTGACACTACAGTGACACTACAGTGAGAGTGACACTACAGTGACACTACAGTGACAGTGACACTACAGTGACACTACAGTGACACTACAGTGAGAGTGACACTACAGTGACACTACAGTGAGAGTGACACTACAGTGAGGGTGACACTACAGTGAGAGTGACACTACAGTGACACTACAGTGACACTACAGTGAGAGTGACACTACAGTGACACTACAGTGAGAGTGACACTACAGTGAGAGTGACACTACAGTGACACTACAGTGAGAGTGACACTACAGTGACACTACAGTGACAGTGACACTACAGTGACACTACAGTGAGAGTGACACTACAGTGAGAGTGACACTACAGTGACAGTGACACTACAGTGAGAGTGACACTACAGTGAGGGTGACACTACAGTGAGAGTGACACTACAGTGACACTACAGTGACAGTGACACTACAGTGACACTACAGTGAGAGTGACACTACAGTGACACTACAGTGAGAGTGACACTACAGTGACACTACAGTGACACTACAGTGAGAGTGACACTACAGTGACACTACAGTGAGAGTGACACTACAGTGAGGGTGACACTACAGTGAGAGTGACACTACAGTGACAGTGACACTACAGTGACACTACAGTGACACTACAGTGAGAGTGACACTACAGTGACACTACAGTGAGAGTGACACTACAGTGAGAGTGACACTACAGTGACACTACAGTGAGAGTGACACTACAGTGACACTACAGTGACAGTGACACTACAGTGACACTACAGTGAGAGTGACACTACAGTGAGAGTGACACTACAGTGACAGTGACACTACAGTGAGAGTGACACTACAGTGAGGGTGACACTACAGTGAGAGTGACACTACAGTGACACTACAGAGTGACACTACAGTGAGGGTGACACTACAGTGAGAGTGACACTACAGTGACACTACAGTGACAGTGACACTACAGTGAGAGTGACACTACAGTGAGAGTGACACTACAGTGACAGTGACACTACAGTGACAGTGACACTACAGTGACACTACAGTGACACTACAGTGAGAGTGACACTACAGTGAGGGTGACACTACAGTGAGAGTGACACTACAGTGACACTACAGTGACAGTGACACTACAGTGACACTACAGTGAGAGTGACACTACAGTGAGAGTGACACTACAGTGACACTACAGTGAGAGTGACACTACAGTGAGGGTGACACTACAGTGAGAGTGACACTACAGTGACAGTGACACTACAGTGACACTACAGTGACACTACAGTGAGAGTGACACTACAGTGACACTACAGTGAGAGTGACACTACAGTGAGAGTGACACTACAGTGACACTACAGTGAGAGTGACACTACAGTGACACTACAGTGACAGTGACACTACAGTGACACTACAGTGAGAGTGACACTACAGTGAGAGTGACACTACAGTGACAGTGACACTACAGTGAGAGTGACACTACAGTGAGGGTGACACTACAGTGAGAGTGACACTACAGTGACACTACAGAGTGACACTACAGTGAGGGTGACACTACAGTGAGAGTGACACTACAGTGACACTACAGTGACAGTGACACTACAGTGAGAGTGACACTACAGTGACAGTGACACTACAGTGAGGGTGACCGGGTTTGACACCGATTCGGCCAGCCGTGACGGAAATCAGCGTGCGCGGTGACTGCACGCGATGACGTCATCTCGCTTGTCGTTCACTCTGACGTCACCGAGCAGCGTGGGGCCTATCCGCGCGTGGGGACGTCACGCGCGTTGCGAGCGAAACGTCATCGCGCTCTCTGTCCTTCGCGCGCGAAGACGTCATCGCGAGATTAATGATGACGTCAACGCGCAAGCGACCCTTCCGTTCGCGAGCCGGCATCGTGCGGGGTTCGTGACGTCACCGCGCACGGGCTCCACCGTTTCCGCGGCGACGTCACGAAAGGAGCGCGTGCGCGATTACGTCATCGCGTACGACTAGCGAGATGACGTCATTACGCACTGCCTCTTCCGTGCGCTGTGACGTCGGCGCGCGCTGAGTAATGGTGGCTGCGTGAAGGCCGCAACATCATCAGCAACATCATTAGCAACAGCATCATCAGCAACAATATCATCAGCAACAATAACATCAGCAACAATAACATCATCAAGAACGCCATCACTACCATCACCACACCATCATCACCACCATCACCACCGCCATCACCACCATCATCACCACCACCATCATCACCACCACCATCACCCCGCCATCACGATGATCGTGACGCTGAAGACGCTCCAGCAGCAGACATTCCGTGTGGAGATCGAGGGGACGAGAACGGTGAGAGGATGGCATCGTTACCACCACCATTAACATCACTACCACCACCATCAACATCACTACCACCACCATCAACATCACTACCACCACCATCATTAACATCACTACCACCACCATCATTAACATCACTACCACCACCATCATCAACATCACTACCACCACCATCATCAACATCACTACCACCATCAAGATCACTACCACCACCACCATTAACATCACTACCACCACCATCATTAACATCACTACCACCACCATCAACATCACTACCACCATCATTAACATCACTACCACCACCACCATCAACATCACTACCACCACCATCAACATCACTACCACCACCATCAACATCACTACCACCACCATCAACATCACTACCACCATCACTACCACCACCATCAACATCACTACCACCACCATAATTAACATCACTACCACCACCATCAACATCACTACCACCATCACTACCATCATTAACATCACTACCACCACCATCAACATCACTACCAGCACCATCATCACTACCACCACCATCAACATCACTACCACGACCATCAACATCACTACCACCACCATCATCACTACCACCATCACTACCACCATCACTATCAACATCACTACCACCATCAACATTACTACCACCATCACTATCAACATCACTACCACCATCACTATCAACATCACTACCAACATAACTACCAACATAACTATCAACATTACAATCAACATCACTACCACCACCATCAACATCACTACCACCACCATCAACATCACTACCACCATCATTAACATCACTACCACCATCATCAACATCACTACCACCACCATCAACATCACTACCACCATCATTAACATCACTACCACCATCAACATCACTACCACCACCATCAACATCACTACCACCACCATCAACATCACTACCACCATCACTACCACCACCATAAACATCACTACCACCACCATAATTAACATCACTACCACCACCATCAACATCACTACCACCATCACTACCATCATTAACATCACTACCACCACCATCAAGATCACTACCACCACCATCAAGATCACTACCACCACCATCATCACTACCACCACCATCAACATCACTACCACCACCATCAACATCACTACCACCACCATCATCACTACCACCATCACTACCACCATCACTATCAACATCACTACCACCATCAACATTACTACCACCATCACTATCAACATCACTACCACCATCACTATCAACATCACTACCAACATAACTACCAACATAACTACCAACATAACTATCAACATTACAATCAACATCACTAACACCATCATTAACATCACTACCAACATCACAATCAACATCAACATCACTACCACCATCATTAACATCACTACCACCATCACTATCAACATCACGACCACCATCAGCATCAACATAACTACCACCATTAACATCACTACCAACATTAACATCACTACCACCCACATCACTACCACCATCAACATCACTACCACCATCAACATCACTACCACCATCACTATCAACATCACTACCACCATCAACATCAATATCGCTACCACCACAATCAACACAACCATCACAATCAACATCACCGTCAACATCACTACCACCATCAACACCTTCATCATCACCATCAACATCACTACCATCAACATCAACACCAACATCACTATCACCATTAACACCATCACCACCTACATCATCATCAACATCATCACCATCAACATCACTGCCATCATCATCTATATCATCACCATCTCCATCACTACTACCACCATCAACACCTACATCATCACCACCACCACTTCCATCATCAACATCACTAGCATGAATATTATCACTAGCAGCATAAACATCATCAATAACATCACCACTAACATTAACATGTAACTAACATAACTACAATCAATATCACCATCAATACCATCATCAATATAGTTCGAATCACGTGCGCAGTAATCATGCATAACATCATCAGCCAAATATAGACACAGACACTCACACTTCTCACACACAGACACTCACACACAGACACTCACACACACTCACTCTCACAGACATTCACACAGACAGACACTCACACACACAGACACTCTCACAGACACTCACACACACAGACACTCACACAGACACACACACACAGACACTCTCACAGACACTCACACACAGACACACACACAGACACTCACACAGACACTCACACAGACACTCACACACACTCACTCTCACAGACATTCACACACACAGACACTCACACAGACACTCACACACACAGACAGACACACAGACACTCACACAGACACTCACACACAGACACTCACACAGACACTCACACACACAGACACAGACACTCACACACACTCATACACACAGACACTCACACACACAGACACTCACACACACAGACACTCACACAGACACACACACAGACACTCACACACACAGACACTCACACACACAGACACTCACACAGACACTCACACAGACACTCACTCTCACACACACACTCACACACAGACACTCACACATAGACACTCACTCTCACAGACACACACACACAGACACTCACACACACACTCATACAGACACTCGCACACAGACTCACACAAAGGCACAGATACACACACAGACACAACAACAACAACAACCGCCATTCGCCACTAAGTGGCGGTGACGTCACCACGACGCTTGTGCCAGGCCACACACACACACAGACACTCAGACACTCACACACAGACACTCACACAGACACTCACACACAGACTCACACACAGGCACAGATACACACACACACACAGACACTCCCACAGACAATCACAAACTCACACAGACACTCACACACTCACACAGACACTCACACTACTCACACAGACACTCACACACTCACACAGACTCACACACACAACAACAACCGCCATTCGCCACTAAGTGGCAGTGACGTCAGCACGGCGCTTGTGCCAGGCTATGTGCACATTGAGGCCACGTGGAGTGTCGAACGCCCGCTGGCAGGAGATCACGGGGCAGACCCAGGTGCCACGGGTCGACTGACTGAGATGACTGGCTGATGCACCACCTGTGCCCCCTACTGTGCCAACCTGCTGTGCTTTAGCCACCCGGCGCTCCGCTCGTTGTTGTGAGCGTCGCTTCTCCGCCCTCCGTTGTTGTTGGAGGGCGACTGCCTCCAACTGCCCAGCAGCGTCCTTCACGAGCCTCCTCCACAGAGGCTGATCTTGACACCGCTGGTACCAGTCATCGGCAAGTCCACTCAGCTTCACGTCTTCCTGTACCACGTCACTCCATCTCTTCTGTAGCCCGTGCCGCGCCCGTTTCGCCCCCTCGATCCGGCCGAACAAAAGCTGTTTAGGCAAGTGTTGACTGGGCATGTGGGCTACATGACCCAGCCAACGCAGCCTTGCCTGTCGGAGGAGCTCACCGATGGAACTTTAAAGGACTTGTGAACTCTTCACACAATCCAGCCTGGTTAAACCCAGGATGAATTCTAGGCAAGCCAGCCTAAATATTTCTAACTGGCGATGATGTTTCATTATGGGGGTCTACGTTTCGCAAGCATAGAGAAGGTAGAGAATGACCGTGGCCGAAAAGACCCGAAGCTTTGTGTATAGTGAGAGACCCCAGGTAGCTTCCACACAGCGTTACGCAGCCGATGAAAATATAATGCCGCTCGACTGATTAGGAGTGAGACCTCTGCTGTCAAACCGGAGCCGGTCATGATCACACTGCCAAGGTATGGGGAAACTCTCCACTTTCTCCACAACTGCCCCATCACCGATTGGGAGTTGTGGGGGTGGAGTGTCCGATGGTACAAAATACCCAGGCAGGTGCTTAGTTTTGGTGGGGCTGATTGTAAGGCCCCATCTGTTAGTGGCAAGCTCCAGTCTCGGCAGCAGTGCCTCCAACTCAGCAATCACCAGATGATCCACATACGATCAGCGTGGTTGACCAATAGGGAGCAATCCCTTGACCGCACCCGGGCATCGATCAGCCTCCCATTGCTTTTGTGCCTAATGGAAATTCCTCCGGTACAGCCATAGAAGGCATCAGAAACTATGTGGTCGAAAGAGATATTTAATAATGTGGGAGCCAGAGGACATCCCTGTCGCACCCCAAGGTGTACAGGGAATGGCCCTGACTCCCGGCCACGTAAATTTACCCGGGCCCGCCTGCCATCATGAAGGTCCTTAATGATTGTGAGCAAAGAGTCAGGGACTCAAAGCATGAAGAACAACCCGGTGCCCAGACCTACTGATGGCATCATAGGTCTTGATCAGGTCAATAAAGCAGAGATGTAGGTCTTTGTAGTAGATGGACAGAAAATGGCACGCACTTACACCACATTGGTGCTCCACAAACCTCTCCTCAGCATGCCTGGCATGGCAATGTTGAATAATTATTGCCAGGACCTTTCCCGGCACACCGAGGAGTGAGATGCCCCTTTAGTTGTTACAGTCTGTGTGGTCCCCCTTCTTTTAGAAGAGGACCACCAGGGAATCCTTCCAATCCTGCGGAACCCGTCAAGTAGTCCAGACTGTTATTATGATGTCATGTAGGGCAGTCTGTACACAAACGTCACCCTTAGCATTTCGCTTGGGAGATCATCTCTGCCCAGTGCCTTGCCTGGTCTCAGACTCTGGATCGCTTTCAGTACTGCCTCAACAGATGGTACCTCAGCCAGCCACTCACAGGGGGTGAATTCTAATATTTGAGGCACCGCAGCCTCAGCAGGGTCATCCCCACTTTGTCCCACGATGTTTTCCCGGCTGAGGCATTTCCCCTGCCCCAGGACCTCACAGAAATGCTCAGCAAATCTGTAAACCTGTTCTTGGGGGGTCGGAGATGTTATCACCGTTCTGATGGAGTTTGAGTGATTTGTGATTGCGGGCCATTGAGGCAGACTCCATCTCAGAAACCCGTGACCACCACCCATCCTTGCAGCGCCTCACGGCCCTCCGAACCTCCGAGCGAAGGCTGCGGT